AATTTCAGAGAGATCCATACACTTACACACAAGTTATTGTCCTGAAACTAGAAAAATGCTTGTTTTTTTGCCCCTTTATGGACCCTAGTTCCTTAAATTTTGAGGCAATTACCCCCAAAATCAATCCTAGCCTTCCCTCTGTGGTATGGTACCTTGCAGTACAATTTCATAAAGATCCATACATTTACACACAAGTTATTGTCCTGAAACTAGAAAAATGCTTGTTTTTTTGCCCCTTTATGGACCCTAGTTCCTTAAATTTTGAGGCAATTACCCCCAAAATCAATCCCAGCCTTCCCTCTGTGGTATGGTACCTTGCAGTACAATTTCAGAGAGATCCATACACTTGAACACAAGTTATTGTCTGGAAACTAAAAAAATGCTTATTTTTGGCCCCTTTTTGGCCCCTTATTCCTAAACGTATTGGGCAATTACCCCCAAACTCAATTCCAGCTTTCCCTTTGTGATATGGAACCTTGTAGTACAATTTCAAAAAGATCCATACACTTACACACAAGTTATTGTCATGAAACTAGAAAACTGCTTGTTTTTTGCCCCTTTTTGGCCCCTAATTCCTAAAATTTGGACGCAATAACCCCCAAAATCAACCCCAGCATTCCCTTTGTTATATCGAACTTTGTGGCCAATGTCAGAGAGATCCATACACTTACACACAAGTTATTGTCATGAAACTAGAAAAATGCTTGTTTTTTGCCCCTTTTTGGCCCCTAATTCCTAAAATTTGGAGGCAATTACCCCCAAAATCAATCCCAGCATTCCCTTTGTGATATGGAACCTTGTGGTACAATTTCAGAGAGATCCATACACTAACACACAAGTTATGTCTGGAAGTTACAAAAATGCTTATTTTGGCCCCTAATTCCTTAACTGTTGGTACCATAACCCCCAAAATCAATCCCCACCTTCCTTTTGTGGTATTGAACCTTATGGTAAAATTTCATAAAGATCCATTCACTTAAACTAAAGTTAGAGTGCGAAAACCAATGTGTCTTCGGACGACAACGATGGCGCCGGACAACGATGACGCCAACGTCATACTAATATACGACCACAAATTTTTTTTGCGGTCATATAAAAATGCTTATTTTTGGCCCCTAATTCCTTAACTGTTGGTACCATAACCACCAAAATCAATCACAACCTTCCTTTTGTGGTATTGAACCTTATGGTAAAATTTCATAGAGATCCATTCACTTAAACTAAAGTTAGAGTGCGAAAACCAATGTGTCTTCGGACGACGACGACAACGCCAACGTCATACCAATATACGACCGCAAAATTTGTTTGCGGTCATATAAAAAAGGGTTAATCTTTGAGTGGTAGTAATAAGCACTATCCCAACCAATAAAGAAGTTACCACTTTTAGCTTCATATCTGGGTTATTTTATCCGTTCATTTTAATTTTGCTATAAATTAGTGATGTTTAAAATAATTCAAATTTTTACCCTTCCACTCCTTCATTTATATATCAGGAAATGAGTAGTTATTATAGAAATTTTCTCTTTGTTTCAATCATCATCATGACTATAAGCTGCCTTAAAACAGTACTTAAAATTATATAATTAGAACAGGAAATCAGTAGTTATTTAAGCTATTAATGTATACAATTCTACTCTAGTCATGTAAATCATAAGGGGACTTGAAATAAACATGACTTTTCATTTCTGGTTTTACATCCATAAAACATTCATGTATCAAAATATGGACATAAATTGATATGAGGAGAAATTACTGCTACATGTATTTAAAATATCATTTTTCATATGACTTAAAACTGATATTATTGATTTTTTTTAACCATGAAATATGATCTTCATTTTAGCAATTACTAGAAAGATTATCATGATTAACCTCAATCTTTTGTTGTTGTTAACAAAACATTAAACATCCAGATAATGATTGAAAAAGAAATCTTCAACTCAAGCTGATTCTGCATGCAGGTGCAGTGTTTCAAAATTTTCTCAACAAATTTGAAAAGAGAAAATTATTTTTTTTAATTAAGACTGAGAATCAGAACTTTCAAGCAAAGTTGACACATCCTTTTGGTCTTCCGCGATGCTGAAAAGTATGTTTGCTGACTGATTTTTATATTGCATATATATATGTAATATCATTACTGTAAACTAATCAAAACAATATGGGATGCTTTAGAATTCCAAACCATCACACATGTATGTGCAGCCTCCTTCACAAATGGTTACTGTCTTTGGGCTTTTTGCTCCACTTAAGTTTTATCTCAACAATTGGAGGTATCTGTACAATTCCCTTACATCTTGTCTAGGCTCCAGGACCATTTGGTGATTGCTATATGTTTTAATATGAATTAAAGGTGATGTGGGGTAAATACATGAATAAGACAGCAACCCAAAGCCACAACTAACAAAAATGTACTATCTAGAGGTCTAAGCACACATATATCTTGAAGGCTGTATGATAATGCATTGAATATAAATAAGAAGATGTGGTATGGGTGCTGCCTATGAGACAACTCTCCATCCAAGTCACAATGTATAAAAAGTTAACAATTATAGTTCAAAGTACGGCCTTCAACACAGAGACTTGGCTCACACCGAACAGCAAGCTATAAAGGGCCCCAAAATGACTAGTGTAAAACAATTCAAACAGGAAAACCAACAGTCTAATATTTTCAATGTTGTGTTGATGGTTTGATGTCTTAATAACCTCTGAACATAGGTGACTGGCAATCATACCACATGTCCTTATTTTCATATTTACTTATTCATACTAAAAATCCAAAATATCATAGCAATTATGCTTTCCAGAATTATATAATTACCTTAACATGTTGCACCAATATTTATGAATTAAAAAAGGAAACAGTTTTGTTACTTTGATTTTGTGATGTTTAGATAACAGAACATTTTTGAATGCAACTACATCAAAAGCATATATTATGGTTTGTGATATCAATTAAAACTTCTAATTCCAGATTGCTCAGCCAAATACATCAACATGGTTTCCAAAAAATCAAATGTATTATGTAGTAAATTACTACTAAGCTAGTAATGTTTTTTTTTAATATTACTCTTTCTTTTGGCAAGCCATTTTCTAAATTGTTAAATGATTGTTGCTTGCTTAATGTCCAGTGGCAATTATTTCATGCATATTTAGGACAAGCAAACTATTAAACTATTAAAAGTTAATAAAATATGTAGGTTCTGCATGGGGATGACAGGGATGAAGCGAAGAAAAATAGAACTCCCATTTGAAATAAATGGTATGTTGGATAGGGAAAGAAATTTTCCATTACAACTAGCCATCTATCTTAAAGAGTTGTTGCAAGAGGATGTGTAGAGGGTGTTGTAAAAAAGTACATGTACATGTATCTTCATTATGTTATATTATGAGGGAAAGCATAAAAACTATCATGATCAAGTCTTTTAACAAATCTGAAGTTAATAGTGGTATTAACTAAATTTGGATGATATAAAATTCTTTGGAATTCAATAGAAGTAACAGTTGAGATTTTTCTACACGTTTTATATACTACCACATATGTTGTGATCATACCCCTTTCTACCTTCAGATTTGTTTATTCAGTTAATATCAAACTTCATGGTACTAAACAAAACACTTATACACTGTTAGCTATATCATTTTCATATTATTTTCCTTTAACTAAAAAAATATTATTTTCACCACTAAAAAGCTTTTATGAAAAGAACATCAGCTTTATATATAGTATCGTAGATAAGTCAAGAATTTATTTATGAAGTATGAAATTGAATAAACATTTGTATTTCATCCCAGCTATTTATGAGATCTCCAGAAATTGTTAGGTTGCTGCCATATTGACACTTATACTACAACAGGGGCAGATCCAGCCATTTTTTAAAGGGGGAGTTCCAACCATATGTCCCCATTCAAAAACATTGATCGTTAAAAAAAAAGGGGGGTTCCAACCCCCGGAACCCCCCCCCCCCCCCCCCCCAGGTTTCGCCACTGTACAGAACTAGTAAAGGGATTTATTGCTTAAATATGATTGAAGTTGCAAGTTGTATGAGATATCCAGATGTTATTGGGGTGATGCCTTATTGACATATATATATACTTCAGATCTCCTTTTATTAATTGTATTTTGTAATTCCATTTCAATTATTTGATGAAAACCATCCACATTCCTGCATCAACACAATAGACAGCTGAAGTCTGAATAGCAATAGGATGCAACACATTTGAAGTGTGTACAAATTTTGTCCTTGGGAGTACAGACTCTCTTATGTAACAAATCAATACCATCCCAACAACTCACTGAGTCATCATTAACAACTGTTCTTCAATCAGACATGACAGCCAAAACACTGAGGATTTTCTCCACTGACATAAAAATCTATCAGGAGAGGTTTTATCAGAAAATAAATGATGATATTTTATTGTATGAAGTAAAAGTCATTTGAGAACGTTTGTTCATGCAATGATAACACAATAAAGTAACATAGAATTTCGAAATGTTTCCAAAAAGTTATCATCTAATTGCTTTTTATTCTAATCATATGAAATTTGTTCCAAAATGTACCACTGGAATGCAGTAATGCTTCTAATTTTCAGAGCAATAAAGCTAAATATATTATATAATGCACTGTTTTCTTTGTGGTTTCCAATAGAAACAGAAAATTATTCAGACTTAGCTAGACGTCTGTATGGTATTTAAATATCCAAAACAAAGAAAAAGTTCCAAATACTTACACAAAGCTACAGTAAAGTATATTTTTAAGCAATTCAAGAATTTGTCTTGATTTTATTTCTTTTTTTGGTTAGTTCTTCTTTTTTTTTTTTTTGGTAAAATTAAGTAACAAATATATAAGTAATCCTTATCTTTTTAAAATGCTTCAGTTAAATTCTTTTAGTCAATACTGGCCATTTCAAAAATCATAACTTATATATATATAAATCATGTATTGTAACAAAATTAACAGATATTTAAATAATGTGCACTAGATTAACATTAAATCACTAACCTTTCAGCTAAAAATCCTATTAAATACACAGTTTACATACATAAACGATACAATCACTTTCTACTTCCAAACAAACAAACAAAAAAACAATCTATAGAAAATACAAGTTATCTGTTGATATTCTTTGTGTGTTTAGGCACTAGCAGAGAAAATTCCCATCAAACACATAGTGATTAATACACACAAAATTCTATGTTGTTCAACTAAAAAATCATGCTGTGTAAATTTTAATAACTTTCCCAGCTTCAACAGACATCCTCCATATAAAAATGTACTTATACAAATGAAGAACATCTGTTACTGAAAGATTTTAATGAGTGAATATTAAAATTATGTGTGATAATACACGACAAATGTAATTGATGTATACATTAGCTAGTACAGTTTCTGAACCATTTAAAACTTGTAGTTTTAAATTTACATGACAATCTTTATCCTTCTTATAAAAGATATCAAGAGGCCTACATCATTTCATAATGTAATTGATTAGTGGTATTATACCTACAACTGATTGCTGACAATAACCAGAGACATATATACACATGTGTATATATGTCTCTGCAATAACTTATCACTTGAAAATACTCGATTTGCTGAAAGTTTGTCACCAACTTTTAATATTTTGTACCTGAAATTCACATGTTGTAAAGGATGCTAGTTTCCAATTTTAAATAAAGTTGGTACAATTTTGATTGTAATTGTTTGTACTTAGTTTATCAAGGTCTGTCAAAACATGCAAATAGTAAGGAATATCATACATCACAATTCTCCAATGTTTACTCTTAAGTCATCTCCAATGTTTACTCTTAAGTCAATATTAATTATATTAGCTGATTAGGCATCACACTATTGCTTAATATAACTTATCAATGTATTTTATAGAAGTAAAACAGGTGCCCAGGTATCACACGTGGAGCAGGATCTGCTCACCTTTGAGAACAACAGAGATTACCTGGCTACCACTTCTTCTTAGTTATTTTGGATGCTAAAATATGTACACTTTTACAACATTCAATGAAATACTCAAAGCTACAAACATGGTACTGGTTTTCACAAGCTGATCAGTTTGAAGAGATGATTTCTTGGAGAAGCAAATTAGCAAATTGGTATTCTGAAAGGACAAAGACTTTTAAATATATGTACTGTAACAACAAAGTGTAACGTGAATTACCGTGAGCCTTAGCAGAGTTATTCTTGAGCTTTCAAAACAGAAACAAAATCTAAATGACTTCCGGTTTTAAAGACGACAGCTGGATTATATAATATGTTGCAATTATAATACATGTAGTAGTAAGATCAATATCTGCAACTGCAAGGAGTATTGATAATTTACATTTTTTTAAAGAAATTTAGAAGTCAAAGGAGCGTTTTTTAGTTCAAAAGCATGTCACTTGGAATTATGCTCAACTTTTATCTAAAAATACTTAAGCAATTTTGTCTTAACAATATGTTTTTGGTTTGAGAATATAAAATAAAATAGTCAGTAAAACTATTCTTATGCAAACAAAATGTTGTGATAGTTGTTCAGTTGTATGAATGAAGTCGCTTGTATTTCATTGATAAATTGGCACAGACGGACAAGAACATGTGACATTGCTGCACTGTTATGTGATGTCATTGCCTTTCAGGTCCTGTCCATGATATTATACACCTTTTGACTGGGTATGAGGGTAATAGCAAGTTTGTTGTCCCTGAGATACCAACTATTGCTCGAGGCGAAGCCGAGGGCAATAGTTAGTTTCAAAGGGACAACAAACTTGCTATTACCCTCATAACCAGTCATTAAGTGTTTTATTATACCAAACAAAACAACTTTCTAAAAAGACTACATACACCACTTGAAAAAAAAATGATCACATAGACATGTACAAGATGAACTATCAGGTTTTTTTTCCCTGTGTGGTATTTGTCAATAATCTATATACTGTAATCAAGACCAGGAATCCTTGTGTAAAAATTGCCGTGCATATGATAAACATTAGCTAAAATATTTTACCGTACACCAAAGCAATCCCAGATTATGAAGACGACGACAGACCAACACCATACATTACATGTTTTAGTTCTTAAAATATGTCGCGTAGATTTTCTTTTTCAATTGCTTCTGGTAAGTAATATATTAATTTGAAATTACGACAGATACATACAGATTATAACGTTTACGATTTTTCAGAGTTTAACGTTGCCAAGCGCACAAATCCTAGCAGAATTGTCGATGACGTCATTGTTGTCCAATGAAAAATTAGTATGAAAAAGTACGGGAAATATGTTTATAAAACTATTAACCGGGGTAATAGTCTTTGAAACTATTGACTGGCAAATAGTCTGTGGAATGAAATAGCACAAATATTTCATTCTTTTTTATATAGAAAAAACATACTGAGGTATAATAAATAACAATATTAGGCAGTAAGATCAAAGATAAAATGTACAAATTGCCAATAAACATTGTTACTGATGGTAGATCACTGAATGTCTCAATAAAAAAAAATCATAACTTTTCAGTCTGTTGTTGAAGACATTAACCTCTAAATGTCTTTTGGTTATTATTTGTGTCTTTGAATTGCACTCATCGATCCCACATCTATTTTACTCAAATATATATATACAAAGTTATTAACTCATATACAATATGGTTAGACTCAGTCCTTATCTTATCCATCAATATACAAAATACTTTTACATGTAAGTGGTGCATACAAATTCCAGCCTGCAGTCTGTTTCATGCTAAACAGCAACTTCTAATAATCACACTGCAATGATACTTGCACGATTGTGAAATCTATAACAATGTGTTTACCAAAAAATAAAACATCATTAAAATGTAATCAGTATCTACATCTACACAACTAGCCTGCAGTTACAACAAATGATAGTATCACACTTTAGGTTAGACATATCTCCACTATTCTGTCCTTTGCTTTGATATGTGTGACCTTGGAAGGTTTATGAGGGGATATTAGGACATGATAGTGTTGGGTAGATCCTGTTTTATTTATACGATTTACCTAATAAACAAATAAGAAAAAAAATTCAATTTGCCAGATTCTGTCCAACTACCAAAAGAGTATTCAGTCTAGTTCAGTTAGGGGATTTTGGAAGCAAACATTTTTTAAATCTAAAATTTCTTTCATACAAAAATGTTATCTTTAAACTTAATAATTAGTTTCTGATCTGAATAAAACAAACAAAATATTCTTTAACAAAATATCAAAATAAAAACCCTCAATGAATCAAAATTGACAAATTACAGAAACACCACGATTACATAAGTGGAGTTGTGATCTTTATTGATTTTTAATAGAAGAAACAGATTTGTGTGTACAATGAAGAATGAAATTCTGCTTACAATGAACATGTTCAATGAAGGGAAAAAAAATATTTTTCAAAATCTATTGCTGATGTAAACCTTGACCTTTGAACTAGTTACCTAAATATCAATATGCTAGAAATGTCCACCGAAACCAAGTAACCATCTCATTTTCGGCTCAAAAGATGCTGTTTTGAAAAAAAATTGTATTTCCAAGGATTTGTATAGTAATCCTTGGTATTTCCAAAATTGTTTTCTATTTAAGGTATCCTGACCTTGACCTTTGACCTACTAACAAGAAAATCTAAAGGGTCTTATTCTTTCCAAAGGGCATTCTCCAGCTACATGCAAGTTTGTACGTACCATACTCAATATATCATCTGGAAACCCAAGGACAGTGTGCTAATCACTGATGCGACAATAACCTTTGACCTAGTGACCTCATGATCAATTATAGGGGTCTTTTTCATCTCACTGGGCATTAATAAATCAAGTTTTGAAAAGTTGAACATGTGGTTTAAAAGATATAACCTCCACAAATTAAAATTGAAATTTTAATCTGCCATTAACTGATGTGACCCCAAAACTTCTACCTTTTTAATCTAAAATTAAAAGGGATCTTCCTCACTCAAAGGGGCATTATTAGGCCAAGTTTGGATAAGGTATCCTTTGTGGTTCAATAGATTTAGTGAGGAAAGGAAATACTGATGTGCTGACATTGTAATATCATTCACCAGCAGAGTTTACTTCTTGTCAACTAATAAAAGCACTTGTGAACATTGAAGAGTAAAGACTGCATTCATTTTGCTTTGGAAAGTAAGCATTGGAAGGCAATACAATTGAATTGGAGTACTTAATTTTAGCTGTAATTATGGACAAAGGAATATAACTCAAATTTTAAATATCACTTTAACAATGAAATCATTGGTATAAGAACTAAAATTGATGCACCATGCACAAATTATGTAATTAATCATCTTGACAAGTGTGTTGATACACATACACATCATTATGTAATTGAATATCTTAGTACATGTTTCATTGATAAATTTCTTGAAATGTGTATAGAATTTTGAGCTCAATGCACGATTACTTTATCTCATGAGTAGTGATAAAATCTAGAAAGTTGATAACTTTCAAGCCAGCCACATAAGGGTTTTTATTGCAATCTTAACCCCAATAAATACCAGATGGAAAGCCGTTACCAAAAACACACAACACCTAGTATTTCATGCAATAAGACACATTAAAAAATCAGCATATTACTGCTGTTATATTAGATTGATTGATTGATTGTTGGTGTTCAGCGCCACTTTAACAAACTTTGATATAATATGGCAGCCAGTTTTTGTTGGAGGGGAGCTGGAGAACCAGGAGAGAACAATCCGACATCAGCAGAAAAATTTGGAAACCCTAGTCAGTTAAGATATGGGAGTCCAAGGCACATTGCCACTAACAACCTCGGTGTTGACAGGGAATTATCACTGTAGGTGAAATGTTCTAACTCTTGACCACCAAGTCCCATTTGTTTTCTTAGAAAAGTACTTATATTATTTAATTTTCAAGATTCCTATTTTGTTTGAATAGATTAGGACAAGGAAATGTTCAGTTTACTGTTTTTGAATGTTTCGTTGGAAGATACACAAACAGGGACAAGACATCATTTGCCTCTGATTTTACATTCATACTAAATATGCAGTAAGTCTTCTTTGTATATCTGTGTCCAAGTAGGATGTAACACAGTTGGTATATATATATATATTAACTAAGTTTTCATCATCTTCCATACATATGGGGATGACATTAGGCTTGGGGTAATATGTTTAGAGAAGAACAAATCTTAAAATATATAATATTTCTGACAAAAAAATCATTTTATAGAAGGACATCCACATAAGTGCTGAAAGTAAATAATAAACTTTGTAATTTTTATGCCATTTAACACTTAT